AAAATAAAAAATTCAGTTCCTCCATCACACTAGCCATATTTCAAGTACTCAATAGCTGCAAGTGACAGCACAAATACAGAACATTTTCATCATCACTGGAAGTTCCACTGGATAGCATTGCTATCAATGTTTGTAAAACTAAATTTTAATTTTTCATGTAGTCATGTATCTATTAAGCTGTTTCACACTTACTCAGAGCTGGGTCTACACAATATTTAACCACTGACTTTCATGGCTTTGCCCATTTTAATATTCTAACCCTTTCATTTTGTAGATAAAGAAACAGATCCGGAAAGGTAAGGAGATATCCTTGCCAAGATCCCTGGGAACATTAATGATGGAAACAGTTTTATAGGTTATATCCCCAGCAACCAGCACAGTACTTAGCATCCAGTTGCTATTACACACATATTGCTGAAAGAAAGAATGAATGAATTGGGAAAATTCCAAGTCTTTCTATTCCCTGCCCAGTGCTCTTCTCATATTTCCCCATTGCCCCTCTTATCTGTCAGCCGAACTGACCAAATTAAATAGTTGCTTCAATTTTTTTGCAACCACAAAGTCATAACAAGCATGAGAATCTATAGGAAGTATAGATGTTGGCAGAGCTTACTCTAAATGCCTCTCCCCTGTTCCAGAATCATCCTGGTTACCTGTCTCCATGTGTTGCCCCCATCAGAGGAGATGAACACACCAATATCAGTATAGGAGAGCTCCGGGCCAATGTTGCCTGAAACATAAGCAGATCATTTGGAATTGTCAGGCAGTTTACAAGATTAAGTGTGCTCAGGTAGGGGGAGGGAGTAGCAGGGAGTGAAAGTTTTCCAAGTGATGTTTACAGCTGATTTGTGCAGACTCTTTCTTGGTGTCATATCAAAAACCCAGCAGGAAGAAAAACTCAATATGTGGGGAAAAAAGTAAATAGTGTGACAGGAATGCATCTTGAAATGATAAGACTCACACGACTAAATGTCGATTAGCCTGGGTCTCTTGAACTATTCACTCTGTATACCAATAATCCCTTAAATTGCTTTTGACGAGTATTCCCCAAAGATGGCAAAGAATGAAAAAGTAAACATGCATGGAGAAGCTGGGCATAGGGACCCCTTACTTCTCAAGTATTATTTTATTTTATTTTGTTTTGCATCTGGCTGGTATGGGGATCCCTTGACCTTGGTGTTATAACACAATACTCTAGCCAATTGAGCTAACTGACCAGCCCTAAAGTATAATTTTAGCCTAAGAAAAACTCATGTATTAGTGTATATGTTTCCAGCTTAAACTTGTCAACAAGTCCCTCATGCATCAGATGGTACAGTGAATTGAGCTAACTGACCAGCCCTAAAGTATAATTTTAGCCTAAGAAAAACTCATGTATAAGTGTATATGTTTCCAGCTTAAACTTGTCAACAAGTCCCTCATGCATCAGATGGTACAGTGACCCAATGATTTAGACTATGCAGCTTAAATTGAAGAGTTCCCAACATATGATGACTAGAACCAGCATACCATGGCCGTCGAGCATAGCAGGAGAAGAATACACCTGGTTTATGCCTAGACTGACGACGCTTACTGCTTCCCTTCACTCTCTCTTCTCTCTGTCTTTCTTTTACTTCTCCCTGCACTCCACCACTTGTGATTATGTTTGTTAAAAAGGAAGTGGTCAAGATTTTATAGTCCATCTATACTGCCCTAGTTTCCCTGGTGGACAGCCTCCTCCCCGGAGCCTAATAGTTACTGCTCCATAAATAATTGTGAAATAAATGAAGGACTGAACAAATGATAGAATCATATTCCAATGTTGATGTGCACTTAGGGAGGTCTTGAAAACCAAGAAGATGCCCTAAACATATGAGTTTATCATAGTGGCTTATATTTTTTCTTTAAAAATAGCATGAAGGAAATGTTAGCTCCCACACATCTATAGCCTAAATAAGAACACAATAAAAATGCAATAATGAAAATGTTAATTGAGCTCCTGACATTTAATGCTTCAGAATGAGAAATTAAAGCCAGGCTACAGCTTGTCAAGCTCTCATCAGCATCAGGGAGTGCACAGATAGCCAACTTGTTTTGACACTCAGGCTTCCAAAAATAACCCCTGAACTGGGGGCTCAGGCAGTAGGTGTGAGAGGAGTGGGGAGAGGCTTGGGGAGCAGCTCTGTGGAGTCTGGAATTCAGAATTCAACTCTCCAGATACAGGTTTCAGAAGGCACAGATGAAGAAAGTAAAGAGGGATGACCTGATTTGATCATCACACACTGAAACATAACTCTGTACCCCATTAATAGGTACAATCAATACATGTCAATTAAAACATAAATAAATTTAAAACATAAAATTAAAAATGGAATGAGGAAGAGAACGTTAACTCAAGGCATCTACTGCAGGCTGCATGAAGCATTGTGCTAAGAAGGATTTGGAAGCCACCTCTGGTTTCAATCAATCACCACTACTGAACTCAGTGATTGATTAATGTCTACCAAGAGAGGTAGAGAGAGGGACAGCAGGAGCATAGTCGCTCTACAGCCATTGCTGTCACAGCTTCTAAGGATCTATCTTATCACTTTTTAAGAACCCATGGCTCCCAGCGAAATCTGTTTTTGGAAATATCTTCTGTCAATTGAAAAGAGCCCTAAAAGAAATGCTGCTGATCACAGGGACCAGAGAGCTGGTTTCCAGATGAAGGGAGAGAAAAGACACATCCAGGATGATTTGATCTTTGAACATGTTCAGTCTCTGTGTGGCCCTGCAGGAAATCTCTGATGGGAAGAGCTTGGGTTACAGGGCCCAAGAAGGAAGATTGGAATCATGAGCCTCACTGGGCCGGCTCAACCACAGTAGCCACCGACCAGGATGGAAGCAGGAGATGTCTATTCAGCCACTCGAGTGGTATGACAGGACAGAAGGAGGAGTGGTGAGATGCGGAAGAACTGGGAGCTTCTCTCCCCAATGGTAGAGCTAGAAAATGAAGTGCCACTGACCTTTCAACAAGTTTAAATAACTTCCTTTACCTTCATTTCCTCCCAGTGCTACCCTTCTCTGCTCCTCCTTAATAAAACACTTTTGAAAAAAAAAGAGAGAGAGAATTTTGAAGTCCTCCGGGGGTTAGATATGCTTCTCTCCCCACTACCGTCACCAGCAGGAGGAGCCGCACAGCAGGGTGGTTGCGGGCTCGGTGGAGGAGGAAGCAGACAGTGCACCATCAGCTGCAGTGGTGAAGGGTCTCCACTAAAGGGGACGGCACAAGGGTATGAACAGTCAGAGTGTATAGGAAGCTCGGCAGGAAGTCTGTCTTAGCTGAGGATCTGGCACGTGAAGGGGCTCGGAGATTGGTCTTGCTGAATGGTTATAGGATAGAGCATTACATTAGAGTCAGAGGGAGTGTGAGCTCAGATAGGACCCCTGTAAACTGAGGAGGACAGTACTTGCCATGTCTACATCATAGTGTCCTTGTACAGTCGAAGCAAGGCAAGCATTTGGCACATTGTATGGCAGGATGCGAGGTCTTTACTACTGGCTTGAGACAAGTGTTAAGAGAACCCTAGTGTTTCTGCTTGCTAGAAGCAATCATCAAACTCTCCAGACTGGAATTCCACCTGTCTTCTGGGATGTCCTCAACAGCAACTAGAAGTGAATCCCAGGGTGTTCTTTCATCTACACAGCTTCCCTCACACAAGATCACAGTGCAAGGTGGGAAGAGAGAGAGAGGAGTGGGAGTGGAGGGGAGAGAACTGAGGGTCACTGACGCTGAAGGCAGGTGGAAGGTATGGGAAAGGTCCCTGTCCTGCAGAGACAGGCTCCGTACTGGCCACTGAAAGCAGACTTGGCTGACTTCATAATTATTTTCCTGATGGCAAATAACCTCCTGGGGAGACCAGGCAAGCAGGGTAAAGAGAAGCTGGGTATGAGGAGGCACACACCAGTGACTTAGTTCTGGCTTTTCATCAGTATCTTGTCAGCTGTGTTATATCCCTCCCAATGTCTCAGGACATGTTAAAAA